ATTGTGAAGAAAATGTTTTGCTAGCGAAACGAGCTAATGGTTCAGAGGCCCCAATGGTTTCCCTTTGCATAGAAACATCGCTGCACATATATCAGAGTCACTCACTCTGGGCTCTGCCCTCCTTCCTTGATCTTCTGGCTGCAGCTCTGTAGCAGCCTTCAAGTCACTGTTGCGGCTATACAACCCACCCTCTTGGGCTCCGTATGACTCTCAGCCGTAGCTGGGCCATGATCTCAGGAGAAGCAGAGAAGCAGACCCAGGCATGTGGCTCTAAGAGCCCTCAAGCAGAAGGCTCAATGGTCTGCAAGGGAAAATTCCAAGTGTAATGTCCATGGGAGTAGCAGAAGGATGTGTGATCACAGAACATCTGCAGAATGCAGGGAAGAATGAGGGAGGTCAGAGGTCAGATTCCCCGGGGCATGGGAAGAAAGGGAGTATATTAACGAGCAGGATATGTGTGTATGCGTGTGCGTGTGTGTAAATAGATGTATTATAAGTAATTGGCTTATAACATGATTATAGAAGCTGAGAGGTCCCCAGATCTGCAGGTGATAGACTAGAGATACAGGATAGTCATTGTCAGAGCTTTAGTCCAAAACCTGGCAGGCTGGAGACTCAAGAAAAGCTCATATTCTGATTCAAGTCCAAAGGCAGGAAAAGACCAAAGTCCTAGCTCAATAGTTGTTCAAGGAAGATATCTAACAGCTCACTTATGCAACACACCGATATAATGAATCACCCTCTCCCCAGCTAAAAAAAGGTGTAAATGTCGTCTCAATTCCAGATAGCCTAAGCCCCTAATGTCCTACTGTGGGGGGAGACAAACGTCACTGGGAATTCTCCTACGAGGCTTTGAAAGTCCTAACAATGTAGCTGCTTTGAATTAGTCGGCAGGATGACCGTCCCGGGAGATACTGGAATGTTTTTTTAGGCATCTTAAAAAGAAACCTGGAGCAATTCCCGGAGTCATCTTCCTCGAAGGTAACCCTGAGGGCGGCCACGTGAGCCGCGTGGACCACCTCCCTCAGCGCTGACCCGCAAATGTACACCTTATGCGGTGTCAGTGGCCGAAGCTATGTCACTGATCAGTTAGTAGGCAGTGGGCATGGACCGGGGCCATGCCACACAGTGAACACCCTCTAAGCACTTACTCCCACTAGCAGTATTTCCACGTGAATACAGATACTAGGCAGGGGAAAAGGCCCTGGCCGGGGTCCCTCATCCGGATCTACTGCTCCCTAGGGCAGAGGGACAGTCTGTGCAACTGCCCTTAGCTCGGGTAACTGTGCAGTTGGGGGCTGGGAGGGGAGGCGGAGCGTGCAGTGGTATTGCTGACATAGCAGGGGCCAGTTCCCTGGGAGAGTCATGGGAATTACTAGCTATTTCCTCTGCCCTCTCTCTGCTGTTAGTACAGCCTTTTCAAAGCGGCACAGAGCCTAGCAGAGACCAGAGGTTCCCAAAATACTTGCTGAACAGATGAATGAGTTGAATGAATGAATCCTAAAATGTGACTATTATATTTTTCTTGCTTTCATCCACACACACCACTCCAACTCAAATGTAAAATACTAGGAGCTTAAAAAGGGATTCAGGAATTTGAAATGGAGTTCCTTTAAGTATTATATTCAAGAGACATGAAAGTCATGATTGATTTTCCTGCAACAGTGAAAATGTCCATCATGTCACATTTGTGATCTGCTAAGCTACAGTACTTCGAGATTCTCTGGTTTCAAAATGCCACTGTGCTTAAGCGATGTCACTGCCTTTTACACTGTTATTTTGAGTCATTTTCCCACCCCCATCCCACCTCACAAATATCTCTGCAAGTCACAGGGAGAAACTGTTCAGGAAAATGCCCTTATCAAATGGTGATAATATACTGGGTTGCCCTATTTTTTAACCGTCTTCTTATTTTATAGCAGAATTTTTCAAATGGAATCCTGAAAACACTCAGGAAATGCTGAAATTATTTGTGAC